CCACCAGAGTCACTGCCTCTTTGAACTACAGAGAGGAGGTAGCGGCAGAGCACGACCTCACAAGCGACACGCGCAGACTGTGTCCAGACACACACAGCCTGTCCAGCACGACTGAGCGGGCGGCGCTGAGATCATTATCACAGAGCCAAAGGCAAAGATCAGGAAACACGAGCTCACGGCTCACATTCGCCTGTGACGACGGGTGGCTCCCCCATTCTCACACTGTCAAGAGATGGAAACGTCCTCACAAACAATTCGTTCAGCCTCTGGGCCCCAGCACCCACTCATTCCGGAGAAAGAACTAGTTTCCAAGTCCAGCTCTGGATAAGGCTGGACAGTTAATTATAGCTCCCCAAAAGCAAGGCAGGCGACAGCCAACATATGATGGGCGCACCAAGGGGCCACATCCTTCCATGAAGCCAAGACTTCTCTAGGGGCTTTCTGCAGAAACCTCTTTACACCCATGCAGACGGGCTGCGTGGTCCCAAGAGAAGCGCCTGGAAAGGCTGTCAACACAGGCAGAAGAGGTGTAGAGGGGCTGATCCCCAATATGATGCCAGCTTGGCTTGGTACGTGGGCTTAGGCCAGAAACTTCACCCAGTCTAAAATCCCAGGTCACTTCATGTCATGTACTGTACATGAGCATGTCTATAGCAACATGCCAACTTCAGGACTTGGTGGATTGATCTTTCTCAGGAAAAACAACAAACAGATGCCATTTCTGGAATATTCAGAAGGAACATGGTTTTTAAAAATGTGTGTTAACTAAAAATTTAGCTTTCCCCCCAGTAATTAAAACTTATTCTTTAAAAACTGAAGACCTTGGCTAGTCTGGGAATGAGGGACTGGAGGCCTATGAAATGTAAATCTCAGCAGTTCCAGGCTTGTCCAGCTCCCCCTGTGCTGACGACCCACTGTACACTGTAGCTCAGGCGACTGTGGCAGCCCCAGCATCCTGCTTAAATGGGGCAGATGAGAGAAGGTGCAACACATCATTCCTATAGAACGAGCTGAGAAACTGGTCTGTCTTACCAACTGAGAATTCTGAGGTAAGCATAGGGGCAGCTGCTTGCAAGCCCATCAGCTCCAACCAGGCTGGGGCAGCCGCAGTATGCACAGTGAAAGCAAAGAGCACACGGCAGAGCAGACAAGGGGAAGGAAAGGGGAGAGGAGGGGAGGGGAGGGGAGGGGAGGGGAGGAGAAGGAGAAGAGAGCACAGAGCAAGAGGAGAGAAGAGGAGGAGGAGAGGAGGAAGAGAAGGAGAGAAGAGCGGGGAAGTGAGAGGAGGGGCAGGATGAAGAGGGGAGGGTTGGGGTGGGGAGGAGAGGATAGGAGAGGGGGAGGAGGAGGAGGATGGGAGGGGAAGAGAGGGCAGGGGTAGGTTAGGGAAGGGAAGAGAGGAGAGCAAAGCAAAGAAGAAGAGCAGAGCAGCAGAGCAGAACAGGAACCCAGCAGACCAGGGCACTGCTCAGCCACTGGACGAATCCAGAGTCATGGCTCTCACAATGCTGCTCCCTGAGGAAAGCAGCACACACAGGAGCAAGCAGGTCATGAGGACAAGAGAGGTCTTCCCTGGGCTATTCCCCTACGGTGAAGCAGCAATTAATCTCCATTTTCCTCTGGTCTCTACACCAGGGAGGGCAAGCTTAGTCAGATGGGCGAGCGTGCATACTCTGGCCACCAATCTCATGCTGGCCACAGAGTCCTGGCCCTCCCTACCTTAGGAACGACGACATGCAAGCAAATGGGAAAGTGTGCTTGGAAACCTGAGTTCATGACTATAAGGTAAAGGTAAAGGCCCTCCCGTTGATCGTCGATTTGCTCGAGCGGGCCCAGTAACGTCTCCATTGGAGACTTTGTTGTTACTGTGTCTGGCATATCGAATACTCTCGGTAGCTTGCCGGGCTCTCCGAGAGGGGCGGAGGAATCGAACTCGGGTCGGCCATGTTGGCCGCGTGTAAGGCGAACGCCCTACCCGCTGTGCTATCGCTCCAGAGTTCATGACTATAACAGCACTAATGATCACAACGACGATAGCAGTTAATATTTTTGCCAGGTACTACGGAAATGCCCAATTCTCGTGACTATGTGTGTGAAATGCTGACCTTTCAGAGCAGATAGGAAACCAAAGCCTATCTGCTATCAAGGTCTTGCAGGATGGGCTTCAAACCCAGGAAAGTGCCAAGAAATCACTATTTTGAATGGCCCTAAGAGAGTGAAGCTGTTGGTGGGGGCTACGATGTAGCAGAGCAGACAGAGCACACACTATGAGGGGAGGAAGAAGTTCACTTCGATCCCTGAAAGCCAGGCCTCACTCAGGATGCTGTGACTGCAGGGAAGTGCATATCAAAAAAACTCTTGGAAAAGGAATTGGGACTGGTGGTTCACTATGCTATCCCGTTCTATGCTAATAGAAACAAAGCTATTTTTTAAAAATCTTTTTTTTTCTTTTTGGGTCACATCGGTGATACACGGGGGTTATTCCTGGCTCTGTACTCAGGAATCACTCCTGGTGGTGCTCAGGGGACTATATGGGATGCTGGGAATCGAACCTGGGTCAGCCGCATGCAAGGCAAACGCCCTACCCGCTGTGCTATCGCTCCAGCCCCTAAAAATCTTTTAACATTTGTGAAATATACAAAAAAAAAAAGGGAGAGAGAGAGAAAGAATAGATGGAGGTTTATATTTTTAAATATATAAACTTTTCCAAGATGCAAAGTACTCTCCAATCTAATATAACAGTACTTTAGGAAAAAAATAAAACCTTTAATCAACTAGTGTTATTTTGTAACCTGTACGCAGGTTAAAGAATTTTCAGAAATTAAATTCGCCATTCAAAAAATTGGAAATAAACTCGAGACGCTTGGTTTTACTTTGCAAAAGTCTCCACTTAAATGGCATTTCCCCAAGAATACCAAAGCATCCAAGAGAAGCAAAACATCTCAAATACAGGGAGACAGCTCCTTTCCTGTGGGGCAGCGCTCCCAAGCAGGGCTTGGGGTCACTCTAGCAGTGCTGGAGACCCCCAGCACTACACTCACAATGCCAGGGAGATAACAGGGCCACACCCTCTGATGCTTGGGGGATCTGTGGTGTCGGGGATCAAGCTTAGACTGGTCTCCCCGAACTATCTCTCAGATTGGACAGTTTCATCTTTTGTCCACTTTTAAAGTTACAGATATTGAGAGAAATCTGAATTAAAAAGGCACGGGTAATTCTAAGATTTAGAATCTGCTTATAATGAAAGGCCAAAATTCTGATCATGATTTTTTGAAAAGAAAATCGCTTTCCAATCACGTGCACAATCCAAGCACAATCTCAAGGTGAGACGGCTGTGCTGGACTATGGCTGTCCCTTCTTGCTCTGGGTAGTGCCAGGGAGTTTTCCCACATCAATGGTTTAATCCTGCCAGTGAAAAATGGCCACTATGGTAAGGAAGTCAGTTTAGCATGTGACTTTCCCTTTTAAAAAAGATTCATTAAACCCTTACAAAATGTAAATCAGAGGGAACGCGACTGATCAGTTGAAAACTGAGCAAGAACCTGTTTCCCAAGTGTCCAGACTGTCACAGTATCCCTAAAGTATTCCGGCAGCTTCCTCACGACTCCCTGGATAAATGTGCCTGAGCCTAGTCTCTTCATACTGTGACTTGAAGCAAACTCAGGGGCTCAAGGGCTTCAGCTAACACCTCCACTCTGATAAGTCCCCAAGCAGCATCTCTGACCCTAACTGCCCAGCTGATGACTTGAACTTTCAAGCTACTCAAAACAGAGCTCCAGATGGACAAACATCAGGGCCCAGTGAGGGCTGGCCAACACTGCCAGCAGAGTTTTCTGAGGAATGTAGCTGAGCATTCGTATCCTTGCCCATGTTTCAGAAGAGAAGAGTCATCATTTCCTTCACATTCTTGAATGTGTTGATAACCCTAAAGACATTACAAAATTGGGTAAGTGACATACTCCCAGCATTCCAGGTCCTTTGCCACTTGCCATAAATGTTTTTGTTTTGTCCATTAGGCCACACCCAGTGGTGCTCACACAATGCACCGGATGGACCACAGGGCTTCCAGATGCCAACCCTGAGTCAGTTCTGAGACACTACAGTGTGGCTTTACAGGGAGGACAAGACCCAGCTGCTCTGGCTGGTGAAAGACCCCAATGGGCTGGAGCTAAGGCTCAATGGAGAGTGGGCACAGGTTGTGGGCAGGGGGCCCAGGGTTCATTCCAGCAATGCATGGCCTCCGGGCGCTGCCAGTGGGGAAGGCATGGCATAGGATACAGAGAACTGGAGTAGCTCCGAGCACTATCAGAGGCGGACCCAAGAAAATTCTACTATGCTAACTTTCCAACAGCAGAGCCCAAAGCTTGCCGGCATTTCCCACGCAGCAGACCAGTAAAGCAGAGTGGCAGTACATGAAGTGCTGCTGGAACACAACCATCCACTTGCTTCTTCTGTGCATGGTTTCTTCTGAGCCGTAAGATCGAGCTGCAACAGGAGACTGACTACCTGAAACACTTACAGACATCCCTGCTTGCACTGAGCTTCACAGGTTTGGAGTAAGACCAAAGACCAAGCAAAAAAATATATTTATCCCCTGAAGGCACAAAGAATGACAAACATTTTTGACAAGAAGGTATTTGCATATTAGAGTACGAGCCAGTCTTCAGTCAGAAACCAGTGCACCAGATAATAGGCCACAGAATAGGGACGGAAGGGAGAGTCCAAGGGCTGGGCGCAGACGGCGCATAAAGGCCTGGGTTTAATTCCCAAAATATCATATGGTCACCAGGAATGACCCCCAAGCACAGAGCCAGGTTCAGCACCCAACCCACCATTGAGTGTGATGTGAAACAAACCCAAAATGAACTACAGTACAGGAAATTCCCCATCCCCAGGCATGCCTTCTTGCTGCTGGTAATGGGAACTGAATTCAGGGCCTCACACTCACAAGGCAGGTGTTTGACTACTGAGCCTCCCATCCTGACATGCCAGGGGCTCACCTGCCATTGCTGGGCTGCGGCGGAGAGTGCCGGGAAGGATCGGAAGGCTCTGAGCGCTGGTCAGGAGAACGTGAGCGGCTGTGGCGGGCAGGCCGGTCATGGGATCGGCCAGAATGGTCTGAGGCCAGGGATTGAATCTCCGAAATGTCTGTGGAATGAGAGGGGCTGTTAATGCTCCCAAGAAATAATCACTGGGATTGGGTAGAAACCACTGACTGAAAACCCATGTGCAATGGTCAGTGCCTATGCAGACTCCTGATGAACTGTCTGCATCAATCTGAGACCCGGGCCACCTCCCTGACCCTGACTGTCCGGCACAGGGTGACACTCACCATCCCGCTCAGAAGCATTGGCTGAGTGAATGCTGTCTGACAAGTCGGGCACGTTCAGCAGGGTTCCTCGCTCATCTCGCTGGACCACCATCTTCAACTTGCCTCTGGATCTTTCGATCAGTGTTTTTGCATCTGTCAGTGACATGTTTTCTGTCACAGTTCCATTTATCTGCAAAAGAAAAAAGACTGTAGCTTGAATATAAACAAAAGATCAAGAGACAAGTGTCAACCTTGGTCTGTCAGGAGCAGAGCCTGTTAACTGCCCCCTGACTTGCTGAAAACCCCAAATATTCCCTTATACTTTAACATATGACCAACAACCCCACCTTCCCCAAATCAGAACTCTCTACTGCACAGCCATTGTAAATGCAAATTAATATCCCCTCAGCCCTTCCTTTTCTGTTACTGACTACAAGTGACTACAGCTGTTATAATAAACTTGTCAATATCAGGAATGGCCACACCAACTCCTCGTGCTATGTACGGTGAGCTCTGTGTGTATACAAAGCAGCTTGGACTGAGCACAGAAGGCATGTACAGAGATGAACTTTCCAGGGGACTCTCTGCCCAGAGAAAGGGACCGGAGTGACAGGGCAAGCACTGGCCTCCCAAACACTGGCTTTTTACTCTTTATAGCCCAACTGCTCCCTCTGCCCCAAGGAAGCTCCACATCTTAATGCTACTGAATGAATGAGCACGGCTATACCTTCAGCACAACGTCTCCTTCTTGAATGTTGCCGTCTCTTGCTGCCAGGCTGTCTTGTGAAATTTCCTTTACAAATATATGGCTGGCCAACCGAAGACCATATTCTGAAACAAGAGAAATAGTGCAACACTTTTTGAAAAAAGGGGTTTTTGGACCACACCTTGGAGGTGCTCAGGGGTTATTCCTGGCTATGCTCTGGACTCATTCCTCGTGTGCTCAGGAACCATATGGGAGGCTGGGGATCAAACCCAGTCATTTGTGTGAAAGGCAAACACCCTACATGCTGTTCTATTGCTCTGGCCCCAAAATGATTTTTTATGGGGAGGACAGGGCAGTCACACTCAGTGATGCTCAGGAGTTATTTCTGGCTTTATGCTCTTGAGTACAAAATTTTAAGATACCTACATAGAGTGTTTAAAGTGCAAGAGTAATAATCAGTGCAGACAGCAAGTTTTTAAGCACATTAAGAAATCACTCTTGGTCACCTTGCAGAGTGATCTCCTCTAAGCCGTCCACCTATGAACAAAGGACTGGGGGCTTCAGACGACAGCACAGAAAGTGTCTCCATCTGACTCTATTATACCGATCAACTGACTTCTCTGAAGGCACACATTTTAGAACAGCCTGTGAAGGCCAAGACTGTATTGCTGATGTGCAGGAATGAGCCTGGCCTGGCCTGGCTAGTGTTTCCCCCAGAACCAGAGCAATCCTGACCCTCTGCAACCCAAGATAAGGTGGGCACAGAGACCTAGGAGGAGCCAGGCGGGAGAAGCTGAGGCCCCTTCACCAAGGAAAAGTGTCAGAGGGGGAATACCAGCTGTACCAGTAGGTGGGACCAGGCAGGGCTGATGAGGGTCACCAGAAAAATTCAGAAACAGTTGGGGGCCTGTGGCCATGTGGATTTGTCAACACAAGACCCATGATGATGAACCCCCAGTTAGTACAATGTCCAGACAAAAAAACTGCTCCATGTTTGGTGGAGGAAAGGACGAATCAGAGTCTTACTGCCTTTAATAAATTATGTAAGAGAATGAAAACCATAAATAAGTGTTCAGACTTGCTACTCAGGCTGCTGAAAGTTGCATTAGAGTTACAGGTTAACTGAAGGTAAACAGATCTAGAGTGCTCTTGATAGGCAGGAACAGAAGCCGAGTGAAAACACAGATTTTTCAAATAGGTAGTTAATTGCTGGTGCATTAGTGGACCCAGGCAGTCAACTGCTGGTGCGTTAGGGGACACAGGTCATCAACTGCTAGTGTGTTAGGGGATCCAGGGTGTCAACCACTGGTCCTGGATTATAGGGACCCAGGTCCAGTGAACAGATGGTCTCATTCATGGGGCACAAGTTCCAGAGCAATGGTGCAGAGAGCACTCACAACAGCACTATCTACAGATAAATTCACTTTGGCCAAAAGCTGCTGTGAAACGTAGGAGCTTGGCAATGAATGAGAGAGAAGTCCAGACTCTGCACGCAACATCAATGACCAGGATGGTAGGAAGTTCAGGAAAAACTGAGGGCTCTGGGTCTAGCAGAAGCAGAGGTGTCTTCCCCGACATGAGACTGACATGGCACCACACACAAGAACTACGGAAGACAAGGTCATGGTGAGGATACAACACACAGGGCTGGGCCAGGCAGCTCAGAACAAACACACCAGACAGAGAAGATGGCTCTGTAGGGCCTTGCTGAGGGGGTCAGGGCAGGGTAGCTGGAGCTGGGGAGGGCTGGGAGGCTGGGAATAAGTCCTGAGCTGGGCAGAAATTCCACCTGCAGAGCAGAGAAGGAAGGAGTCAGACGTGTCTTGGTAGTCAGAAGCTACTCCAGAGGTGAGGTGCCTAGCATGTGCACATGTATGTGTGGGGGGAGGGGGGATAGTGGGGTAGGGTGGGCGATGAGGCACTCCCTCAACTGTAGGGTTCATTTCACAATATACATGAGCCTCATGATATACACGACCACACTGTACAGTCCTGAATCAACCATTACTCATGGTACCTCAGAGTAGTGGGAGAAAGAGAGGGTGACGGCGTGGAGACGGTGGGAAAACTAACAGGGTTGAGAAACTGCCAGCCTGGCCGAGGCAATGGGGTGGGCAGGAGGGCAGCCAGGGGGATGGTTCTCCACAGGCAGACAAAGGCAAGAGGCAGAGCAGGGGGAGGGCACGGCAGGCCAAAGCGCACAGGCTGGGCGCAAGAGTGAGATTACACAACAAGGCTACATAACGGGGTAAACTAACTGTCCACGGCTCTAGAACAGATCAGAAACACTGGGGCAAAGGGTGGACTGAGGTGAAGGGCTTTGAGAAGGTAACAAAGACAGGGGAATCTAAGAGGGCACAGTATTAGAGAAGCCAGCATCAGAGAAGACATGTGGCCCTGCAGACTGGGCCTGAAAAGGCCAACCTGAGATGGTGGGTTCCTGCTGGACCAGAGAACATGTGGCACAGCAGCTGGCCATGGGGGCTTAGGGTCATAAGGGCACTGACTGAGACCATGGGTCCTGCAGGCTGTGGGGGTGCAGAGGCATGAGGACAGACAGTGATAGAGAAGCAGGGAGGAGGGAGTGGGGTAAGCTAGGAGTGGGCAAAGCACTTCAAGGTATACCCTCATAAAGCTTTATTAATACAATCACCAGAGGCCCACAGCAAGAAGAAGCCAGCCCTGATGTGTGTGATCACAAGGGACAAAAGAAGGGAGGCGTGGAGTTCATGCCCAATTCAATCAGCTTAATCAATTAGCAATACTCCTATATTATTTAAAAAAGAAAAAGGGGGGGGGGAGGCAGCAGCATATCTGTGCCAAAGTTTTAAAAAGGAACAAAAAGTATTAAATACACTGACAAGTTTGAAAAATCCCAAAAAAGGGGATCCTATTCATCTCTTCACTTAAAAGAACCACCCAAGGGGTTGGGAAAGATCGTGCAGCAGGCAGGGAGTTGGCCTTTCTTATTGCCTATCTGATTGAGATTCCCAGTCCCCCAGGGCCCCCTGCACCCTACCAGGATTGATTCTTGAGTGCAGAACCAGGATAAATCCCTAAGCACTGTAAGGTGTGGCCCTCAAACAAAACAACAACAAAAACCTCAAGATTTCTTCCTGGTTGAGCCTGTAGCTAAGAAAACCTCAAGTTGACCAGATCTGTACTGAGCTACCCAAGCTGCAACATGAAACCCCAAATCCAACCACAGGAGAATATTTTTAAAATGATCTTCTATAACCGAAATATTGTGGGGTGCAGACAGTGATTGCCTATAGGGAGAATGAAGGGAAGGTCAGTCTGAAGTTAGTCCTGCAGGGTCCGGCATACTTTTCTGAGTAGAACCTTCCCGGCTAGGGAAAATTATCCCTGGTTCCCGCATATGCGTGTGCGCAGACAATACCTTCATTCTTCCGGGACTTCACCAACGTGACTTTGGTAGGCCTGGGAGGCTGGCTGGAGGCCACAGAGCGCCGGTCAGAGCGTGGGGACAAGCTCCTGTCTCTGCTAGCGCTTCTGTCCCTCGCCCAACTCTTCTCGCTTCTTCTGTTCCCTAGAGTGGCACGGCCACTGCGGGGATCATGCACGTCTTCCTCGTAGCTGTCTTCCTCGTTCTCAGACACGGGCTCAGGCTCAGGACGGCTAACAGGGATCTGGACTTTCTTCTTCCTTCGAATGGTCTACAAATGAAAAGATCACAAAGTCTACTGGTGAACTTTCCTCTTGTCTTCTCGGGGTCCGAGAGAAAGGACAATGATATTTTCCTGCCTGGATTATAATCCTAACCAGAGAGTTCATTCATAATAACAACTAATCACTAAGGAATGAGTTTCCTGTAAAGTTGTGTTTCTGTTCTCCTGATAAACAGATGTGGCCAAGAAACAAATCTGGAATAAAAGGTAACAAGGTCCTTAGTCATGTGAAGGACCTAGGTCTAGGTGGAACAATCCAAAGAGCAACAAAGAGATGTTGGCGGGCAGACCAAGGAGATGACTCTGTGCTCTAACACATCTGTACCCCTGAATGCTCAGATGTGCATGGAAGCTCCAGTCAGCAGCAGGGCCACACCATGCCTGCTTAAACCGGAGAGAGCAATTTCCTACACCACCACACTACAAGAAAACTGGGCTTCACAGGGGCTTGCATAAGGCCCACAGAGAAAGAGCCCGGATTTCCTGTGTTCTGGCTCTGGCTGCTGAGAAGGGACCTTATGATATAAGGCAGTGTGTGGTCTAGACGGCAAATGGCAATGAGAGCCATCATGAACTAAGAGCATGATCCCATCTCTGCATTGTGGAAAGCAACTCTTGGCTGGGTAAGATGGCCTCGACCCTTTCCCACCGGAAAGCATGACCACCAGCAGTCCTGCCCTGCCCCCTGATTTGGGCAAACAGCAGAGCCAGCCTTCAAGCTGCCCACTGACAGGTCGGACAACTACTTTCCACAAAACCATCTCTATAGGGAAAACCTGATTCTGGCTGCCTCACTGACCCAGGATACATGTGCTGAACAGCTAAGATGGAAAAACGAAACAGCAAAACATCAAAGCAAAATGGGAAGATCTGAAAAACTGGAGTTAGGCTTAAAGGTAATAACCTCAAGATACTGGCAGAACACTCCAATTTACCATGGAATGTGGTAAATAACTCTACAGGTATTAAAAATGGTATCATTGAATTCGAGCAGCAGCAAAGAAAGCAGAAACAGTTCAATTTATCCAAAACAACAATTTAAAAAAAAAAGCAATTTAATCTAGAGAAATAGTTCAGGTAAGGTCCTTGCATACAGTTGACCTGGGTTTGATATACCACACCCCAGGTCACACACCAGTATGTGTGGTTCAAAAATATCATTTGTTTTTTGGGTCACAGAAAGAAGTGCTCAGGGCTGATTCTAGCTCTGCATTCAAAGACAGAGCTAAAATATGACCAAGAAACATAAGCCTAGGACAGGACATGGGGCTTTGTTTTTCCAAACCGCCAACATGCCAAGCCAAGAGAGAGTCTAATGCAAGCCCTGAAAGAAAAGGAAATGCCAAGCCACGAAAGGGCAAGCACTCGACAGACCCTGTGCCCTCTTCGCTTTTACAATCAGCAAAGTTCCCAGTGTCCACAGCATGATCCTCCCCGTCCGACATGGAGAAGCTCTTCTTGTGAACAGCTAACGTTGGCACTTCAACTCCAGTTTCCCTTGTCTTGTGGAGGAAGGAGAATATATTTAAACAAAAAATGAATCAACAATAAATGGGAAGAAGAGACTTACAATTTTTGCATTTTTCCCGCTTTTTCTTAGTTGCTGAACAGCAAATGCATGCTCGACATTATCCATTGAAACTCCATTAACCATTGCAACTCGGTCATTCTCCCTATGGGAGAATAAGTCACCAAAGTAAAATGTTAGAGAAAACTATGGATACTTTTTGTGAAAACAGCCTCTAAAATCTATTTCTAAAAAACAAACCAGTTTTAGGCTAATTCATCTGTCTTCAGATCACTGATAAAATGTTCTATGAGCTATTTTCAAAACTCTCCTAAAAATGCTTATTTAGCAAGTCAATTTTTAAAACTATTTAAAAAAACAAAACAATGTTTTAAAAACCATTGTCTGGTTAAATTACTTACCCCTGCTAAGGGCTAAGTACGGGCAAGACATACAATGAGTTTTCTATTAAACAACAGAGCATTCGATACATTAACAACACATTAACTGATAGACATGGAGAGAGAGAGAGCTATTTACTTTATAAGAAGAAAACTCTCCTTTTGAAACTTCTAAAACCCTGATCATAAGCTCATGCCTGACTAGTCTGGCCTGGGCCTCTCTCCCTTTTGCTGATTTTCTCTGTCACTGTCACTGTCCTCCAGTTGTTCATCAATTTGCTCAAGTGGGCCCAGTAACGTCACCACTGTGAGACTTGTTACTGTGTTTGACATATCGAATACATCACGGGTAGCTTGCCAGGCTTTGCCACGAGGGCGAGACACTCTCAGTAGCTTGCCAGGCTCTCCAACAGAGGCAGAGGAATTGAACCCGGGTCGGCCAGGTTGAGCATTTGCCTTGCTGATTTTCTCACTAAAGAAAAAGTGCCTGGTGTGCAAAAGGATACTTAAGGCTATATTCTGGTTAAAATTTAGCAACAGTGTTCTCTTCTCCCCCCCCCTCCCCAACCCCCAGTGGTTATCAAGCCCAGTTAGACCAGGGGTACTGGCTCCCGGGCTGTGCCAGAGCCTTAGCATAAACACAGGTCAGAGTCTAAGAGCGCTTCTCGGCCTGCCAGTCCCCAGAGCAGCAGGAAAAGGCGCGATGTATAGGGAAGGACCCTCTTACTGGAGCTGCCCTTCCGCAGGGCCGCCTTTCAGCACGTCGGAGATCACGATGGATGTCTCCCCACTCTGAAAGTGGGGGTTATCTCTTCCCCCAGATATGGCGATTCCAAATCCAAATCCAGGAGCCTGAAGCAACCATTACAGAAAACAAAAGTGGACAGGGAAGAGTAAGATCAGTAAATATTCATGATGTCATAACCCTACAGTCTAAAATATACAGCACTTAAGTGTTAACTTATAAACGCCAGACCAGAGAGAATGACAATTCTTTCTTATATGTGACGCAAACAGTCACTGCACTCACAACTGTCACATGCTGACATAGATCCATATCCTGGAACACACATGGCTGGAAACACACTGGTCCTAAGAGCCAATTACATGGACATTTTAAAAACACACCAACACATTTAGATTCATTACTAAAATCCTGAAATCAACTTTAAAAAAAAAAAAGCTAAAGCAGTGGCCACATGGGCTGGTGGGATGAAAGGCAGGTCTGTGGTGCTGGGCATAGAAGCATGGCCTCCTATGTGCTACTCCTTTGAGCTCTCTCCCTGTCCCTGGATTTCCTTTTGAGTATCAGAAAACTCCAAAAGGGAGCAACAGAGTGTGACCACAATCATCAGGTACTACAATTAAATGACAGAATGACAGAAGTGCTGTCTTACAGAAGAAACATGCTAAGAAATGAAAATCCAATGTTGAAGCTGGAGTGATAGGGCAGGGCGCCTGTCTTTTAAGCAGCTGACCCAGGTTAGAACCCTGGCACCCCACATGGTCTCCCAAGCCCACTGGGAATGATCTCTGAGCATAGAGCCATAATGAAAGACCTGAGTACTGCCAGGTGTGCCCAAAATTTAAGAAGAAAGATTCCGAGCTTCTTTCAATTTTAATAAAAACTCTACTTAAGTAGTACACCAAAACATTCTTATGCACACATACCATTAAGTCTGTACTAATCATACTAAACACGTAAAATTACTCTACCAATTCATGCAGAGCAGGGAGCAAACCCAAGGCGTCACACAGGTAAAGCAAGTACTCTAAAGCTGAGCTACAATCCCCAGACCAATTACTTGTGTTTTTCAGGGAGAAGAGGTGCTCAAATAATGTGAACCTGGTGTTGTTCCAGGGGCTACACCCAGGCCTACACTTAGGGGTCAACACAGTGCTTGGGATGGAACTGAGGCCAACCGCATGCAAGGCAAGAAGCACCTCAGACCCTATATACTCTCTTCCTCCCTGGTTGTGACTGGACATAGAAGCATGGCCTCCTATGTGCTACCCGTTTGAGCTCTCTCCCTGTCCCTGGATTTCCTTTGAGTATCAGAAAACCCTTTGTTATTGACTTCTTTGTCACTTATTGTTGTTGTAATGTTTTGGTCTGGGCCACACCTGGCAGTGTTCAGGGCTTATACCTAGCTGTGCGCTCAGGGACCACTCCTGCCAGTGTTCAGAGGACCATATGGAGTGCTGGAGATCAAACCTGGGTCTGCTGTGTGCAAAAGTGCTCTGTTGTACTATTGCTCCAGTTCCTACTTACTTTTTTTTTAAGCATACATTCCATTCATTCAAAATGAATGGAAAATCTATACAATGACTAAGAATAGCCTCAAAAAGAAAGCATCCAAGTATTTAACTTATTAAGAAGATATCCTGGGGGCCAGAGTGATAGTATAGCAGGCAGGGTGTTTGTCTTGCACGTGGCTGACCTGGGTGTGATTCTTAGTATCCCATGTGGTCCCCTGAGCGCCACCATGAGTAATTCCTGAGCATCGCTGGGTGTGACTCAAAAATTAAAAAAAAAACACCAAAAAAAAAAACTAATTTCAAAGAATCACCTCCATTCAGCAAGAAAAAGAGCCTTCTGAGTAGGCTCAGCTAGGGCACTCAGTCAGGCAGACAGGAGACCATGTTATCATGAACACTGACTACTTCATGCTCACACCATGTCCAGACAGGTATGGCATGGCCTTCCTCTCTCCCCACAACTTATTGGAGTCGCAGGAGTGAGGAGGAAAGGGAGAAGAGAGGAAGCAAAGAAGGCCCTTCTTTGAAAAATAACCAGAAACTCAACTTGCTGGGAGACACCCAAGAGAAATGTAAACACCTGTCCCTATGGATTAGCATACAAACATCCCCAAGCACCTCTCACGACAGCCACAAAGCCTGAGCTGAAGCAGCCTCAAATGCCGACCAGAGCAATAGAAGGTGGCAGGGCAGTGCTGCTGGGTAAAAGGAAACAAAATGCTGCTAGGGACCCCATGCCACCAGCGCCACTGGATGTGGTCCCTGAAATAGTAAGAAATTAAGTACAGATATGTTCAGTCAAACGGATGAACCCTGAAATCTTGGGTTAAGTAAAAGAAGCCACTCATTCACTGACCCCTTTACAGGAGTGTCTGGACAGACAGATGGTGGCTAATGTGGGGCTGGGGCTAGGACAGTGATACTGACATAGACATTATTTTCAGGTTGATGAAAACGCTCTACAAGTAGCTCTGGTCATTGCAATTATGAATGAACATGCAAAAACACCAATACCACTATTCTGAATTGCCAGGATAGGGTCCCCTTAGGCTATTTGAATGTCTAGCTCCTTTGCAGGCTATACCACACAGGCAGTTGTGTCTGTCCATCTTGTCCACCCTGTCCTTTAACACACCAGAAACAGACTACAGGGTCTCACAAACCTTAGACAGCCCACAGGCCACATATTCCCCACTCCTGCTTTTAAGGATGACTCCAGCTCAATGAATTATACTTCAGTTAAGTGAATATAAACAAAAATCAATGTGAAACAAACAAAATATCTGGGTAGCTCAAGACAATGGCAACAACCTGACTCTAGGTCTTTCTATACCCTAGAAGTCTACACTTCGAAGATCGAGAGCCCAGCAGAGTGCTATCTAGAGATGTCCACAACTAACTGTGACACAGAGGCAGTCCTATTTCTGACTTGCAGTGACCGAAGGATGGACAGAGGGGCAATTCTGGGGCACTTTAGGGGTACTTATGCCATGGGAGAATAATAATTCTGTACAACAAAGTCATAAACATTAGCACAACTGTTTAAAAAAAAAGGTTTATTTTCAAACAGAAGCAGGATTAAATTTCTTAAATAATAAAAAACTGGATAGAATTAAATGACTAAACCATTGATCACTTAACAATCAAAATTAAAATTATCTGCAAAAAATATAAAACATCTAGATTTCCTATGGAAACACAAATAATGGAACCTGGTCTATTAGAAATAAAAAGCTTAGGGGCCAGAGTGATAGTACAGCAAGTAGGGCATTTGCCTTGCATGTAGCCAACTTGGGTTCAATCCCCAGCATCCCACATAGTCCTCGGAAGTAGAGACCAACAGAAGTGACTTCTGAGTGCAGAGCCACGAGTAACCCCTGAGCATGGCTGGGTATGCCCTCACCTCTTGCCCCGCCCCCCCCCCCAAAAAAAAGAAAGAAAAAAGCTGAAACCACCTGACTTCCAGAGAAAAGACACACAGTGCTGAGGATTTCTTCAGATGACCCGTGGGGATCTCCCAGTGGTGGGTAATGCCAAGACAGACCACCGTGGATGCTCAGCCCCCCAATACTGAGAGTGCTTCTATGTTCTCTTTATGAAATAATAAGACTATTACTACTAAACTCTATCACAGCTATTTATATTAACTCTCCACTAAAAACAATGATTTTTTTCATTTCATCTTTTTCTTTGGGGTTACATGGAGCAATGCTCAGGGTCCATGTGGTACCAGGGATCAAACCTGGACCTGCTGCAGGCAAAGTACATGCTCCACCCACTAAGCTCTCTAGCTCTCACTATCCACCCAATATTAAAGCCAGACATCACTTTATCTATCTGTGCTAATACACAAAAAAGAAAAGCAACACCACGGCTAGAGGACAGGGACAGAGACATTGGTGAATGGCATGAGGGAGAGTGGCAGGAGAAAGCAATTGGTGTGCTATATGTGGCGGTGACAGTGTGGCAACAAGCACTGCCACATCTGGTCTGTCCACTAAGCCAGACTCCCACTGCATGGGCCAGGGAAAGGGCTCTGTATGCCGGAGGCAGGGCTGGCTTCCACCCCAGACACTGTGTGGGACCAGGAGATGGGGTCAGAATTCATGCACCCAGCAGCCCAAAGTGGCCGGGTACCCTAGGGTATTCCTGACACTGTTCAGGGTCACAGGCTGGACACCCACGTCTCCTGGTAAAATTTGGGTATCCCTTCAAATAACTGAAGTATATACATTGTCACGTATCATAGACAAACATTTAGCCTTACTGACAGTTAAGGTCAGAACTATTTCATATTTTCTCTTTTATTTTTGGCTCCTGGGCCCCACCAGGCAGTGTCCAGAGCTGCTCCCAGTCAATCCTCAGGGGTCACACCAGGGGCACCAGCATGCAAAGCATCTGCTCCCGTCCTCGGAGTCACCTCCCCAATCCTAATGTAATCATTTGATTAGTGAAGGGAGAAGAAGGTAAACAAAAAGTTGGCTGTACCTTCTTCTGCAATCATTGGTTTTAGTAATTTATTTGCCCATTGTGTGTAGATTCAAACATTCATAAGATAATTAGGGACAGTGTTCATAAGCACTATTTCCCCCTTTTCCATCTGAGAAAGAGCATGTGCAGCACGGGATCTACAATCAGCTTGGTTCCAGGGGAAAGATGAGAGGGGTCCGGGAAAGTGAGGCCCATGGATGGTCCCTCTGGACAAGTAGTCCCCTACACAGGGACTGGGAGCCTGCACACACAGGGCCTGGGAGTCCCATGTCTGTCTTCAAAGGCAGGGTTTGAAGCAAACAGCACTCATTCTACTCTGCCCTTCTACCTTGCTGGGGTGGGAATGACAAATGCAGCCACCTATACCAAACTCCACGTGGCCCTTTGAACACCAGACATCCCCAAGCCCCCCAAACCTGTCCCCCACACACACATGCAGCCTGACATCACTCTCAAGTCTCAGCCTACCACAGACTAAAGAAGTGTTTTCAGTAGACACCATGGCTGTGCAGCTTCTGGGCACGGAAACCATACTTCAGTAAATCACCTTTCCACTATCCCTGACAGAAAACATTCTATTCGTTTCCAGGGCAACACCTTACTTTCCTAAAATGGGAGTAAAACCAGCAACTACACAAATAATAACCAAAAGGATTCATTGCAAAGTTGTAGTCACTCTGATCTTAACAAAGCTTTTATTTGTCACAACTCCAGTTTCCAACAAACCCCACCACCACCCTCCCCCAGCTGTCAGCCCTTCTGGCTTCCCAACATCCTGCTCCTAGTTCAATGTGCACTCACCCTGTGAAGCGTCACCGTGTGCTGTTCCCATATCGCGGTTTCCTCCATGACTGTGCTCTGACAAAGAAACAGAAATGGCACCATAAGAAAATGTCCCTCCCACAGGCACTCCTGACACCTGTCCCACAACCCACCACTAGAGACCAAGCTTCCTATGCAGACAGTTAGCGACCCCACAAGGGGCTGAGTATTTGGGCGCTCTCTGGTCTGCTGCTACTGCTGGAAGGAATGGGAATCTCCCCATAGACATGACCCTTGTCTTCTCTTCACTTGGATAGATGTCGCTCCACGTCTGCGTCCTGCCAGCTGAAAACAGAACTCAAAGTTGATCCTGCCACTTTAGACTGACCATCAGAGTGTGAGTTGGGCAAGTACTGTTCTGAAATGTCTGATGACACGTGCCACCTTTGAAAGCATTCCTTACACTGTGCAGAGGAAGGAAGAGCCAAATGCCACTGGACTCAGTCATTATCAAGATCCATGTTCAGGAAAGCAGATAAGACATCTGGGGGTCTGGCTCAGAGTTCCTTGTCCATCACTGTGAAATAATCCAGCTCTACCTCATCTCCCTCTTAGTCCAGAACTCTGCCCAAGCTCCATTTAGAGCCCAGGGCAGGGAAAGGCTGGTCTACTGAAAGTCCCTCACTCAAGGAAAAAGGCCAAAAACACAAACCTAACCCGGCCCTATAGCACATGGCTCACGTTCCTCCGTCAATAACCTCTCAAAGAGACAAACCACTGAGGGTAAGCCCCAAAGAATGAAGATGAAACTTCTTATTAATTGGGTTAACGTCTCTCAGAGACTTAGAGGTAATTCAGTCTCTTTTAATGTGACCATCTTAAGGAATTGGGGGCCCTAAAAATAATATATACCTTTTATATAAAGCAGGGAGCTTTTTCAGAGTTCTCAAGAGTCAGGCACAAAGAAACAACAGTCCTGTTACCTGTGGCTTGAAACAGGCATCTGGAGAGCAAGTGCACAATAGAACAAGTCCCCGGGCCCTCCCCTCCCCGTTCCCTCCACCACTCTCAGCCAACTTTCAGGGCACTTTGAAAATGAATCTCTCTGAACACAGCTGCTTCCTTACATTCAAAGCCACCAGGTTCCCTTTCCGGGAACATGAATGGGGCAGGGAGCACCTGATTGTGCTGCCCAGCACAGATCAGAACCACCCAAGTCTGGAGCCCGCATGCTGCCACCACCTCCCAACCCAGTGCCGTAGCTCTGGTCTTAGCTTTGGAGACAAACACTGATTGGGATGGGACATATTTTCAAAATTCTCCAATGTGGGGGCCAGAGTGGTAGCAAAGCAGGTAACGTGTTTGACATGCACAAAGCCTACCTGGGTTCTATCCCCAGCATCCCATGTGGTCCCCCAAGCACCACCAGGAGTGTCCACCCAAAATATTACATATATGTGTGTATGTGTAAACATTCATTCAAGTTGGCTCCATCTCAGATGCCGCTTCTAGACAAAAAGTGCTGGCGGGCTCTGCACCTCTCCTTAGGAGCACTGCAAGGGGAAGGAGCTGCTCAAGGTAGCCCTGAGCACAGTCCTCAGACCGACAACTGCCCTTCCTCTCTCTGGGCTTTTGTGGCCATGGTCTTCATTTTTGGAACAGAATCTTAATCAAACAGGAATTCATTTTATGTTAAGGGAGGAAAAGTAGAAAAGTAGGTTATGAAACAGCTTGTACAGAGTTATTCCAATTCTGTTTAAGCACATATAGGAAAAGAAAGGCTAAAAAGAAACACAGTAACATTAGCAAAGATCCTCCAAACACAGGGACGCTAGTGGTGCTCTTCATCAGACTCTATCTTCCTGCTCTCCTTTCTCTGCTCCCCCGCAGAATAAACTGCCAAAGTATTTTATGTGAACCAACCCCCACTTAAAACTTCAAATATCTGTTTCTGCCTTTGCTTTTAGGGAAATCAAGTAACATTTCAGAAGTTTAATTATGTTACTGCTGATTGTACAAAGTATTCCTCTAGTCTACAGAAATTTGGTTAGAGATCTATACATTAAGTCTTAACTTTTTCAAAATGTGTTTTGTTTAAGGGGGAAATAAGAATATTAAAGCAACTCCCACAAGCTCACCTAAATGATGCTTTCTTCCAGGGCAGGGTTAAAAACACAGATCTCAACTACAACCTCCAGAGGCGTGCTGGGGCCACTTCTCTGTCAAGGTCAAACACAGCCTTACAAGTTGACGACAGACAGGAGGCTGAGCACAGAAGTGCCCTTAGTCAATCTGACCCATGACACATGGTGACCATCATAATGTGCTCATCCTTCTCATTCAAAAACCACACAGCAGCTTCCAAGTTTACCCCTCCGACCTGCCACCTTGCTCTGCCCTCCAGCCCCCAGCTCCCTTCTGTGAAACAGCAGCAATCCTGGCTGATGTGAGGTCATTTAAACCAGGCTGACCTCATGGGAGGTCTGAATTGATTGAGGGGGCACCGATTTGTAGCCATACAGAGAGGAAGTAGCCTGCAGAGGCCTGTGTAACTAGTTCAGGGATCCACTGGTCAACTGTCTTCCCCAAAGAACTTAGTCTTGAGAAAAACGAAGGGAAAGGAGCAGAGCTCCTCTGTACACAACTCCAGAATGTCTGAAGAATTCTGCTCAGTAGAGAGGAAATCAGGGACAAAATCTTGAGATGTGAGCCCCATCTGCACTGGCAACAGGTATGCTGGGTTTCCTCACCACACAGTATGGGAATGAGGTGAAATGGTCTCAGGAGCCAAACAATCCTGCCCTCTCCTCAGCTCAAGTGGCCACTCTGAACAGTAGAATCCTAGCACTAGCTTAACAGTAACTCCAGCTCCAGATGCAGGGAGCCGCTCCCTGCCCACTCCCAGAGCAAGTGCACCTCCCTATCGCGTGGGCCTGCACCGTGAGGTCACGCACATTTCGAAGTCAGCATCAACTGACTGGAATCACAATTTCTGAAGAAGCAAAAAGCTGCCTTTCAGAATCTGCCAAGAGTTTGTGTGGTGTCTTTGTTCTCGACTCCAGCTGGCAGAGCCCCTGCTCGGATCCCCGGCTCAGAAGGGCTTCCTGCCAAGACTCAGCCCAGCCTAGGCCGCTTCCCTGTTCTTCCTTTAGGGCTGATACAGAGCAGGTGGGGGAAGGCAGGATGCGCCTGGAACAGAGAGAAGACCAAATCCCAGTGGAGCAAACAGGAGGAGAACGTTAATTCCTTAATATGATCCAGAGACGAGCCAATTAACTCATACCATCCTCAATGCTGCCTTTTAAAAACACAACCAGAATGGGGATATGGCTCAGTGGCAGAGCACACGTGTGAGGCCATGAGTTGGATTCCAAGCACAGCAAGTCAATAAAATTCCATTTCGTTATTCACCAATTCCTCCAGCAACCATCTATCAGACATGGTACACTAAGTGCTATTCCCCTTCCAGGGGCTGGTAGGAGGAGCACAACTCTCCCTGAGCAGCAGACCAAGGAGTCCCAGAAGCCGACCTTGCATGAAGAAGAAAGGGTGGCTGAGTCTGCACAGGGCAAGGCCACGGCAGAGAGAAGCTCAGGTCCCATGACAGCCCCTCTGTGATGCAAGGGACCTACTGTCTAGTGTGAAGGAAGACAGCTGGAAACTGTCTAACCAGAGAGTGAAAACTCTCTCTAGCCTAGTGGAAGAGGATCTGAGGAGTGAATCCTGAAAAGGTAGAGGGGGTGAGGGAGGCACATTGCAGTGGCTGTGAGGATTTGAACTGGAAAGGTGAGAGAGAGGCAGTTTTAGAAAGCCCCAATCTAACATTCCTGTCAGACAACACCCCCTCACCCCACCCCCAAGATGTGAGTGAAGGAAGCAGCAGGATGTGCAAGTCTGAAGACCAGGATCAAGTTTGGAAGGAGGTAAATCCTAGGGGTAATCAGGAGGAGGGACCACAGGAGAAAGGATCAGATTACCAAGGACTCAGATAACTCTATGTCCTCACAACAAATGAACAGAGAGTGAGCAGAGGAAACAACAGGGCCCTGAGACCTATTAAAGGAGCTCCCAAGATTCCCATCCTAGGAAAACCTGGCAGACAGGGAGAAGAGACAAGGGTACGGTACCCTCCAGGAATCTGTTAGCAGAGCAGCCACTCTGAACTGTGTCACCGTCTCCTCTCTGTCCACTCTGAACTGTGTCGCCTTCTCCCCTCCGTGCACTCTGAATTGTGTGGCCATCCCCCCTCCATCTACTCCGAACTCTTGTCACCTTCTCCACTCTGTTCACACTGAACTGTGTCACCTTCTCCTCTCCGTCTACTCTGAACTGTGTCACCTTCTCCTCTCTGTCCACCCCTAACTGTGTGGCCATCTCCCCTCTGTCCACTCTAAACGGTGTCGCCTTCTCCCCTCCATCCATTCTGAAATGTGTCACCTTCTCCCATCCATTCACTCTGAACTGTGTCACCTTCTCCACTCTATCCACAATGAACTGTGTCACCTTCCCTCCATCCTCTCTGAACTTCTCCCTGCTGTCCATTCTGAAATGTGTTGCCTTCTCCACTCTGTCCACTCTGAACCTTGTCACCTTCTCCACTCTGTCCACATTGAACGGTGTCACCTTCTCCACCCTGTCCACTCCGAACTAAGCCTACCTTCTCCCCTCCGTCCAATACTTCATTTCATGCCTAGTCATTTTCCCCCATCCACCCAAGATCGGAGAGATTATCCAGGAAGATGAGGTTAAATGCTGAAGTCAAAACCTGTCCTCATGAATAAAAGAGGTAGATACCTGCCCTCCCTGGCCTGGCTGTGTGGTCTTCAAACAGGGCTCATTGCTCTGCCCAAAGCCAAAGGCAGAGACAAGGAGACTGCAGTGAAAGGGGAGGGACTGACCGTAAGGGACATCGTGTTCATCTAAGACAGAAGGTCCCAGAGGTAGTACAAAAGACAAAAGGATTTGCAGACTAGCGAAGACTAATAAGAACCCACTGGACAGAACTGCCCAAACAATGACCAAACTGAATATGACCCTGGAGGGTCACAACCTCAAATGTGTGACCACTGGCCACCGACTGTCAGCAATGCCATTTT